GTCATGAAATTGCTTATCATCAGCATTAAAAATTGCCTCTAGTTTTGCAGACATGAAAAAAAAAAATAGGTGATCTGATTTGTTTATATTATAACACAGGATAACGGAGTTGGAAGGGACCTTGGAGGTCTTCTAGTCCAACCCCCTGCTCAAGTAGGGGACCCTATACCATTCTGGACATATGGCAGTCAGATCTCTTCTCAAAATCCTCCAGTGTTGGAGCATTTTCAACATCTGGAGGCAAATTGTTCCACTGGTTAATTGGATCCCATATATCCTCTCTCTTTCTTACACATTCTCTCTCTTCTCTCTCTTACTCTCTCTCTCTCCCATACTCTCTCTTCTCTCTCTCTCTCTCTCTCTCTCTCTCTCTCTATCAATCATCTATCATCTATCTTCCTCTCCTCTCTCTCTATTTTCTCTCTCTTACTCTCTCTCTCTCCCATACTCTCTCCTCTCTCTCTCTCTCTCTCTCTCTCTCTCTCTCTATCAATCATCTATCATCTATCTTCCTCTCCTCTCTCTCTATTTTCTCTCTCTTACTCTCTCTCTCCCCCATACTCTCTCTTCTGTCTCTCTCTTCTCTCTACCTATTCTCTCTGTGTTACTCTCTGCCATACTATCTCTTCTCTCTCTCTTTCTTTTCTCTCTCTCTCTCCTCTCTCTCTATTTTCTCTCTCTCTCTTCCTTTCTCTCCCCCACACTCTCTCCTCTCCTCTCTCTTTCTCTTGCTGTCCCTCCCTCCCTCCCCCCCCTCTCTCTCTCACACACACCAAAGCCAACAGCCACTTCTTCTTGCAAAATGGCTTTAATCTGCTTTAATCTGTTCTGGTTTTTCTTCCTACTCTTCCCTGGCCAGGAATGGCAGAGACCAGTTGCTGCAACAACAGACATTTTCTTTGGACGGGTTTCCTCTGTTTGTTGATCTGGAGGAGAAGACGGGGCAAAGCAATAAACATTACAGTTCAGATGGAAAAGATAGTGGTGGGAAAAGTAAATTTGCAGCTTTTTCTTTTTTTTTTATAGCCAGGAGGAGGTCGTGAGCTCAGCCTGTTGAGAAATTATGTCCAAAAAAGAGACAGAGAGGCTGCCCTTAAAAACGGAAGAAGGAGGAGGCAATAAAAGTTGCTGGAATCTTTTGCTGGATCCACTTTCCCAGTTCTCTGCCATCTGAACTCTGCCAGATTTCCCAGAATGCTTTAGCAAAATGTTGCTAGGAATTCTGGGATCTGACATTCCAGCACATCATAAAGGTGTCAAAATCGGGGTGGGGGGAAACCTGTGCTGTTGCTTCTGCTGCCGTTGTAAACATTGCGAGGTGCTGTTTCTCTCACTGAAAGAAGGTTTGAAATAGTTTTCAAATTTAAAAACCATCAACCAAACATTCATGCAGAATTGCCACCAATTTGGGAAAACATCTCAGAGGGGGGAATCAAACATTAGCATAACAAACCCCCCGGGAGTGTGCACGAGTAGACAGAGCACGCTCAAGCCCTGCAATCACAGAATGGAGCCGAGGTGGTGCAGTGGTTAGAGCACAGCACTGCAGGCTACTTCAGCTGACTGCTAGCTGCAGTTTGGCGGTTCGAATCTCGTCAGGCTCACAGTTGACTCAGCCTTCCCTCCTTCCGAGGTGGGTAAAATGGGGAGCCAGATTGTTGGGGGGCCAAGAGGCTGACTCTGTAAACCACTTAGAGAAGGCTGTAAAAGCACTATGAAGTGGTATATAAGTCTAAGTGCTATTGATCTTCCTTTTCTCCTTCCCTTTTCTTTTCTTCCTTTCTTACGCCTTCCTTCCTTCCTTAACTTCTTGCTCTTTCCTTCCTTCCTTCCATCCATAACTTCTTGCTCCTTCCTTCCATCCATCCATCCATCCATCCATGGTGCACAGTGGTTAGAATGTAATATTGCATGCAGGGGGCGGGTGGAGCATGGGGAGGTGTGTTGAGCCAGCTCGCAGCCCATTTTTGCTCCTCCTAAAATGGGGGGGCACGTGGGCAAGTGTGGGGGGGGACCGCAGGGAGTCACATGTGTGCATGCGCA